GTGCCCCCACCCGTGCCTTCAGTTGTAGTGCTAATGGTAGCGCTGGGAACTGACCCAGCAGCTGTCTGCTGAGCCACCGCTGCATTTATGGCGGACGGCATGGGAATCAGGCTTAAAGCAAATGTTGAAAGAAAGCAAGATCTTGCAAACTGGAAGGAAATTTGAGACAAGAGGAAGTTGCTGTGTAAACCGCTTTTTCTATCCGTTGAATGTCTCCTAGTCAAATTTGCAAGCAACAAAATTCCACGTGGTTGAGCACGTTGTGCATCCTCTCAAAGGGTGGTATTTTGTCGTAAGAAATTGGAATTCGTTCCTTGATGTGGAACAAGATCATCTGTTGGCTAACTCCCGTGCCTGAGTTGTAGCATCTACAGCATGTGTGCGTGCCTGCCCTGTGCGTATAAGTGCCCAGAAGGAACAAGCTTTAACCCATGAAATCTAAAAATAACTCCAGGCAAAGAGCGAGAGAGAGGGAAAGTGAGAGGGAGGGGGTTAGCGAGATGGTGTCAGTCTTCTGCGCAGCTCATGCGGAGGCCAGGCATGTTCCTGGGACAGGCTCTGTGTGCAGGCTGACTCCTGGTGCAAGCAGCTCATCTTTTCCTTAAAAACTGGAAGCTAAACTCCTGCTAGTTTGGAAACATACTGACAAAGTACTGCCAGCCAATAAACTAGTTCTGACACTCCTAAACTTGTTGTTTCTACCCTTTGCTGCAGAAAAGATACATATGGATTTTCACTAATAAATAGAGATGATTATCTGAAGACAGGCTCCTAATGGTGAAAAAGGTAATTATGTGATGCTACTGGGGTCAGGTCAATACCTGCCAGCTGGGTTTGGCTCCTCTAGAGAGCAGCTCGCCAGCACTAAGATTCACCTGGTGATAGCTACCTCCCATGTCAAAGGCACCTTTACATACAGGGGCAGAAAAGTTTATAAGGGGCCCAGTGTGGAAACTGGGCCATTCTCTGTGTTAGGATATACCAGTCTTAGAGGAGATGTCTGACTTTTTGCACATTTATTTTGTCATACAACAGTGGGATAAGGGACAAATTCACAGTCTCCGTGAAAGAAAATCTAAACACATGTTGCTCTTCTCTATAACCCAGTTCTTCAAAAGGTGACATTGTTTATGTGTCAAGAAAAGCCCCCTAACATCTTGATTTTCCTTTGATTGGGAAGTCTTAAATCACACGTGACATCAGTGTTATTTTTGCCTAATGACACCAGTCTCTGGACTCTGGCTCACACACATGTTGCTGACCTGCCCTAGCACTATGGTGTTTTCCAAAGCAGCGATTCTTTTTTTCTTTCTCAGCCATTTGCTTGGTTTACACATTTCAGATTAACAAGACAATGGACAATCTCTACAGCTCATTAAAAAGAAAAACTCCACTAGGGGAACTTTTAAGGAAGGTAATATAGTTGGCAAGCTTGACTAACCTCTAGCAGTATTAATCCTCAGTCTTCTAATGATGGCCTAAATCCTTTTCTTTTTATCATGAATGCAAGCCTTCTTGCACCAACAGGGCATTCAGAAAGGACAGATTCAAGTGTTCGTGGAAACAGGAATGCAATTGTTTCAGGGTGGGTTGTCCAGATGCAGAATTCATGACTTCCTCATTACATTTAGATGCAAAGATCGTAGGTCTCATATTTGACATTACTTTGCAGGACTGCTTGGCAGAGCCATGTGTCACTCTTTC